CGGAAAACATACTTTTACTGGTTATATTCGTTTGATATCTTGTTCAATACCAGATGGATACTGCAATACAATGACGTTTGTCTATGAATAAAAATATAACATACTACTGCTATATATACAATCATTTACATCACATTTTGCGTATTTATTATGTAGGCATTAATAAGATGAGTAATGCATGCATGATATACGTTCTTTGTTTGATAAAAAAAGCGTCACCATCTTGCTTGTTGTTTCTTACGTCACTCAGCAAGCTAAATCAACCGTGATGCGCAATTAACCGAACAGTTGAAAAAAAAAATGCACTACCACGGCTTCATTTGTTTTTTTTTGCCAACTATCACATATTACTAGTTTACCGCTGAATATTAAGATTATGATGAAAACTAGGCTCAAATGAGCCTCTAACGTGACTGAATACCATCATTTTTGGGTAGCAATTTTTTTGATCACCAAAAAAGATACTTTTGATCACCAAAAATCGTTAGATACAAATGATCGCCAAAAAAAGATACTTTTGATCACTAAATTTTTTAGAATGCCTCTCGTATTTTTATTTCTCAACAAAGTAAAATACAATGTACAAAATAAAGAATATTCTTATTATTATTAATATATATTTACAAATTTAACGCTGTGCTAACTTTCTTGGGACGTCCTCTTGTTTTTCGTTTATCTAATGGTTGAATACGTGTTTTGTCGCTGACTTAATACATGTTAACTATAATTGCTAAACCAACAGAATGTTTACATGAATACTCTTTAATGCCAATAGGACAGCTACATGATTGTAATGATACAACTAACTTTATGGATGACCCCTAATGAAATGTAAGTGCATGACGAACAAACAAGAGGTGATGAAAAATCACATCTCTCTATAAAATTTGGTGATCAAAAGTATCTTTTTTTTGGTGATCAAAAATACAATTACTCATCATTTTTAACGTCAGTTCCGCTTTCTGCCAACCGCTGGATACAGCTTCAATCTCGACCCGAGAGTTTCTACCACTTTTCATACTGCTTTCGACTTCAGTATTAGCTAATCAAGTTTGACGCACGATCTCTAAGATTAGGAAGTAATGATGGAAAACATTTCCATATGAGATAAAAGGAAAGACGTTTGTAAAATATCCCAAAAATTTTCTGGCATTCAATGTTTGAAAGATTGCAACTAATTGAACATCGATTGAAATTCTCATCGTGTCCATTGTGGAATTCAAATATTTACATTTTCCTCAATTCTCAACTTATCAAGATGATCATCAACAGGAAAAAACATTGTCGTTGCGCCTCATCGATCGAAAGAAAATAAAAAATCGAATAAAAAAGACATCGTCAGCAATGGTTTCAACAACTTTGAAAGTTTCTTTTTATCATCCATATGAAGAATATGTTGAATGACAATCAAAGCTTCAAAGAACGGATTGAACGATGAAAATCCTCATGAAAATCATTATGATATACATTAGACTTTTTTTTCTATGTCAATCAATCTTTCTACTATTCCACACGAGATTGGAACCAGATTGTGAAGTCAGCATTGCATAATAATACAAGTATATTGTATTTTATCAGCAATTCAAAATTTTACAGATATTGAAGAGCCAAGACTTTTCCAGCTTTGACAAGAATCAAACAATTAACAGTCTTATCTTTGTTGTGATCTAAATCTTGACTAATTCCACATCAAAAAGTCAAACTTTTGAGATATAGTCTTCATACAGTACAAAGTTAATTAAAAATTATGAGAAAAATTTGAAACTACTATTCTTGATCCATTTTGATCAACAAAAATGATTTCAACAAACAAAATTCATCTGAGAATTTTTAGAAAATATCCAGAAATTATAAAACAAATAGCCAAAAGTTTCAATTTAACAAAATTTCTTTCGAAACAGTTTTGAGAATATTAGTAAGTTTCTTGTGAAAACTTAAACATTGTTTGACTTCGACATTCACTTTCGAAACTTTCTGACATGATTATACTGAAATGATCGTCATAGATAAATATCATTTAACTCGACATGGCTTTTATGCTTTGGATTTCGATAGACATGCAATTTCTTCAACATTTCTACTAATCACTTGACAAGTATTTATATTAAAGAATGCATTTGCTATATTGCTGAGATATTCGATAATGACTTGTCCATGAAACAGACAAGCGATACTTTTCTTATTAATCGTGAACAATCTTCTGACTTGACTAAAAATATCTTGTTAGGACTAGTCTGCGTTTCTCACGTCATAAAAATAAAGTTGCAGCATACATTGACGAAACATTAGGTATGATTGAACTGTAAATACCATCGTACCAATATCAGTGAACTTTTTTCAGACTATTTTTCATTACTTAGCAAATATGATACTGACATTGATCGCTGACAAAATTAGATGTGCACACCACATTTTACTTTCTTTGCCTGATTTAATACAAATTCTGTTGGATATCCATTCGAAAAAATCTAACTTTAACTAGCTTTGGAGAAGGTCGTGTGGCATGAAAATGTGTAACATGTCGGACAACTATCGCTTATCCACTACGGTTCTTGGTCAAAATTCGATTATTTAACCTTTTTTCTCTCGCTGTTCTCGCTTTGCTACAACATTTAGACCCATGTTATGGCACCTTCACATGATGTGTCGTAAGAAAAAGTTGTTAAAGGTATTATTCAAACACCTACAAATATCAAATTAATTCCAGCACTTACTACTTCTTTTATCAACAACAAAAAACATGTTTTTTTTCAGTTCTAACATTTTGAAAAGAATATTTCTGTATCAGTTGATAATTTTGATGTTGATTCCTGTCTCTTCTCATTGTATCTAATTTAATAAAAAAAAAACGATTCTCATTTAGTATATAAATAAAACAATCGAACGACCTTCTTCATTTTCAATGAATCCATCTTTTTATTCGGTTTTTCATCAGAGAAATATGCGATAGCAAGTATTTTCATTGCACGAGTGGATTACCTATGGATGATCATCCTGCTCAGAGACAAAAGTATTCTAAAATCTATTGTTTTTTATACTTTGACAGTTGACCCATCAGAATATATGACTATAATGTATATCCGATGAAATTTAAAAAAAAACAAGATGACAAAAATAGTGAAATACATTGTTCCTTTCTTCCATCGCACACTCACATCTTCTGGATTTCTTGGTGATATGTAGCATACGAATGAAGTTGAAACCATGCAATAAAACAGTGAACTTTTTAGATATGTTTTTTCTTTCATTTTGAATATTGATCAGAATGTCGAAACAAAAATCTAGCTAGCTTTAATAAAAGCAATCACACTAACGAATTTGAGTAATGCTATCGTGGCAAGGTCGACAGTTGGTGTATAATACTTTAATTGAATTGCAATGTCTGATCATATTACAATAACCAACATGATTGAATACATGTGAACATGACACTCAATACAATCTATTTGCAAGCTTATCACTTGGCTCCTACTATGTTTGCGATAAAAATGGATGAAATCAAAACCATTAGCACGATAGTAATTGTGAATAAGACGAAAAAAGTGCATCTCTCATCATTTCTTTACTTTGAATTACTTACGTACACACACATCCATTCGTTACAATGTCGGTGTTAATTTTTCTTGCCACAGTTGTACTAGCTCTAAACAGTCTTGTTGCGGTCGAATCACTTGAAACCAATCAGACATACTTGATCAAAAAAGATTTCCTTAGTGGTGCTAAAGGAGGTGAATTCACTATCTATGATGTTACCGGAAAGAAACAGCAATATCGTATGGAAACAAAGTTTGGGCTGACACACGATGTTCGATTATTTTCTGGTAAGTCGAAAAAGGATATTTTGGCGCGGTTGAAGGCCAAGGTGACAGTGGTGATGTACAAAGCCATTATTTCGATTCTTGAAGTTAAATCGAACCAGTGGAAGAACGGAACCATTGAACAAAATTTCAAGATTGTCGGAAACAAATTCATGATCAATTGGGGTGGACGACGTATATCAATGGAAGGCAAACCATTTTCGTTGGATACGACATTCCATGATGAAGCAGATGGAACCACATTGGCTAAGTTTCGCAAACGTGTCAGCTCGTTATTCTGGAGAAATAAATACGATTTACAAATACTCTCCGACAAAGTACCTGAAGCCATCTACTTTCTTGGGGTTGCAGCAAGAGATCATAGTAACAAGAAGATTCACACGGGTTAAATTTTATTTTATTTGACTTAGTTTTACATAGATTCATAGATTGCTATTAGTGTCTCAATAAATTTACGCTATTTCCTTTTTTTGAATCATTGCTACAGTCCACAATCAATTTACTCTTGTTATTAATGTTTTTTTCACATATATATCGAGTGTGGATGTAGGTATGGGGTGTGATTGTGAATATGTATGGACTTGTGTATATGGGCCTTCTTTTCTAGAACATCCGCAATCCACCATATTTGTTGAGTCTGTGTTGAAAAGCGAAGGTTCAGTGGTTTTCTTAAAAATAAAACTTGAGTCGAATGTGGTACGAAAAGGATCAAACGAAATACTCTACGTAATTGTTTCTTCATGCTTACACAAATATCGAATGACGTACGTCTCTGCAATGGAAATGAGCCCTAAACGTTTTATTTATGCCAAAAAGTCACACACACTCTCTCTCTTCTTTTTTTTCTTTTGATTCAAAACAAAACAAGATGAACCAGTTAATGATTGTGATGTTAATAGATGTCCTTGCCATTTTGCCATGTAACTCATTCAAGGATCTAATCCATCGTCATTTTCTTTTCTCATTCGAATTAAATCAAATTAGTTGCATGAAAGAAAAACTAGAAATCTACTAATTAGTCTTGTTGTTTTGGTTCATTAATCAAAAGGATTGAACTGATAGTAAAAAAAATGATAAATTGATTGGCCATAAAAAGGTTGAAAGGAAAAATATCGAATATATTTTACATTGAATAACTAAATTTGAACTAATATGAATTTCCAATGAAGCTCATCTTTAATATCATTTTTGATGTATGTTGGCAAGTTGAGTGAATAAATTTTGGACTATAGGGAAACGTGTACCATTACCATATCGTTCATTTATGGCAAAATAAAAGTATTGTTCATTAACAGGATTGTGTTCCGACAATATTTTCATGATAAGACCACCTTGGTATTTATGCTCAGCAGCTAACCAAAGAAGAATCGTCTGATAGTCGACAATGAACGAATTGCTCACTTTCCATTTTAGGTTGAAACGAAATTCAAATGATGTTACATTTGTGGGAAGTTCAACAAGTGGATTTTCAGGATAAATAGGCGGTTCAGTTAATACAAACTCTGAGCAGCCAATTACTGTCGGTATGGTTATATTTACTGAACATAGTCGTTGTAGACGATCAATAGCTTCGAGTGCAAGTAGATCAGATGCTGTGTGATGATCATGCGAATCGATGTTTGGAAGCATGATAAGCATTAAATCGTAACCACTAACACTATTACCATTCTTTATCGTTCGCTGAAATTGCTCAATGATCCATTCCTTGTCCCATTGCTTAGCAAAAATTGATTCGATGTTTCGACTATTCTTTAAATCGATCTGATCGAAAAAAAAAAGTATTTTCGAATACCCAATATTCGTCCGCTGCCTAGTAATTCCTGTTGGTGTATACGTGGCAAGTGTTTTCTACCTACAGCTTCTTCCGATAATTTTAGATTGCTATAGAGCAATTCCGATGCTCCAGCATGTGCAAAACCACCTTCACCATTTGTTACACATACAAGATCAACTGAAACATTGAGCTTGTACGTAAGAGCATGGATTAAACAGCCAAAAAGAGTCTCATCATCAGGATGTGCGATGATAATAAGCCCAGCCGACACAGTATATAAAGAGATTGCCATTGTTTTTCCCCCTGATATTGTAATATTTACGAAAAGGGAACGTACATATATATCTTTTCTCTTAAATGCCACACATGCCTAATCCGATCGTACACTTTGCATACTCATGGACCCGATGGACAGGTTAAATGCATGATCTACGCATTTGAAGATGAATCGATACTGTTTCAGAGTTTAAATAAAATCTACTCATTACTGACAATCTTCCTTAGCCGCAGCATACATGAATCCTGTATCATTTCTGTTAAATGTAAACTCAACAGAAAAAATTAACTGATTCGACAAACGGGTCGCATAAAGATTGACTCAGAAGTTTTGTCTCAATTTGAATAATAAATTTTTCTTGAATAAAATACATAGTTGAAAATTTGTTTCTAGGGTAAAAAGATGTAACAAAACACGTAAGAAAGTTATAAGGTTAGAAATATACTTTTCAAAGCTAAAAAAAGAACATAATGGACTGAATCTGGTTTGAACACTTGATTCACTACCAAAATCAGTTTAATGTCAATATAAAATGAATCCCAGATTTCAAACAGGTTTGCTCTTCGTTGAAAAGTAGAGTTTCGAAGCGCCAATGAATTGAAAACTCTTTTTTTGATTACGTACATTTCTATGAAATTCTTCAAAAGAATTATCAAGAATCTAGGAAACTTTCTTAAGGATTTCGTAGAAATGCACGTAATCGAAGAGTTTTGCATTCGTTGGCGTTTCGCAACTCTACTTGTCAGCGTAGAGCAAACATGTTTAAAATCTGGAATTCATTTTATATTGACACTAAAGTGATTTTACTAGTGAACTAAGTGCTCAACTCAGATTCAGTCCCACTATTTTCTTTTTTTTAGCTTTGAAAACGTCACGGTTAATTTTTATGTTTTATAAAGTGTATTTCTCACCTTATGTCTTTCTTACTTCAATAGCTAGCAAGGTTAATCAAAAGCCATTTTGTAGAACGTATTTTACTAAAGAAAAATTGATTATTCAAATCGAGGCAGAATTTCTGGACGACACTTTGTGACTTTCGCCAGTTATGTGTAAAAGTCTTATTGGAGAAATTCCTGATCTCTGACAATGCACTATGTAACGAAAGAACAATACAACATTTTATCTGAAGATAGTTTCGATACTCGAAAACACACATCTAAATGACTTCAATATTCAATTTCGTCGAAGCCACAAGGTGTGGGGTGTGGGGGTGCAAGACTAGATAATAAACATCATCAACACCCACACTCCACCTACACTCAAACCGATAATCAAAGCAAAATATTTCAAATCAATGAGAAACCACTATATTTGGATAACGTCACAATATACAAAGTTAAATTTTCTGATAGAACTTGATGAAAAATTATTTTTTTCTATGTGATTAATGATCATACAAAAGCCAGTACAAGATAATCCAATTCGAAAAAATTTTACTGTTCAATCACTTGTTCAAGACTATGATGAAAACAATAAAACAATGTCAATTTTCAAATATCATTAATTTCGATCAATGTTGAATTTTTGTACTCGATGATTTCCATTGTCACTCACGTAGAGATTTCTCTCTCGATCAAATGACAAACCGACTGGACAAGAGAGTTGATTCGATTGGCTTCTGTGACCATTGCCACCAATGACGATACTTCCCTGTGTGGCCCCTTGAGGCCAACGAATTATTCTTTGATTCCCATTGTCAGCCACATAGACAGTACCTGATTGATCCACGACAATTCCAAGAGGGTTCGATAATTGCGTAAGGCTGTTTCCTTCACCTTGACCGCCAGCCACAACAATGCCTTGTTTCGCACCTTTCATCCATTTCATCACACGATTGTTGCTGAAATCTGATACATATACTGAATGATCTCCATCGACGAATATGTACGTCGGTTTATTCAATTGATCAAGACGATTTCCTTGTCCATTTCCACCTGCAACGACTGTTCCTTGGTTTTCTTCCATTCGATATCGTTTCACTTCATGTTTATCGTAATCAACGATATAGAGAAATCTATCATTGTCCATTGTCAAGCCCCAACATAAAACACCTGAGATGATTATTTCTCCCTTTGTACCATTTTGACGAGGCCATCGAACTACTCTTCTATTTACATAATCACAAATAATGAGACTATCTCTTTCTTTATCAATAATCACATCTGTCGGACAATAAAGCTGATTAGGGCGGTTTCCACATCCATTTCCACCAGCCACAACTCGACCTGTCGTCGCACCATATTTCCATTCTACAATACGATTATTGCTGTATTCAGCAATGTAGATAGTTTGATCATCATCCAGACACAAACCATATGCATTGCTGAGTTGATTCATTTCACTACCGTATGCATTTCCCCCAGCGACAGTGACACCATTTTGCATCCATTTTACATTCTCACTCAAATTTCCATAGCGTAGATAAGGTGCTAAAAAAGCACAACGACAACCATTGAAGATGTATTAATATACATGAATGACAATCGATATTCGAAGTAAAGAACTTGGATCAAGAAAAACAGAAAAAAAAGTTTTACTCAATAGTCATATTGAACTATGTCTCAATGTTAATCTCATCGTTTTGATATTTTGAATAGTGAACAGTGTTAAAGCCTTTATTGGACAATAAATAGCATTCGAATTTTCCTATTAAAAATCAAAATTTATCTTTATCTCAGCAGCATCGAAAGCCTTGTCATCTTTAAAAGAATTTTGATAAAATCTCGTCATTGATCATCAATATAAATAAAGAAAATTTGACAGTAGGTATTTTTTCGAATAGATATTTGTTCACAACAGTTGCATATGATGGAAATAATTATTAAGTTTTGTTCGAAATCTAACTATTACTGTACTTTTATGACGATACTTTTCTCGAATAAGTTCATTATAATGTGTTCCTTTAACTATGTTTCAAAATAAAACAATGGATCAGATCTCATCAACACTTTTCTCACAACGAATCTCAAGTTAAAAACTATCGATGTGATTTCAATAATGAAATAAGAAATTTATTTTCGAAACGTAACTAATGTTAGCACCAGATTCGCGTATTTCCCGTCTTTATTCGCCCCCACGTCTGTGCTGTTTTCCTACTCGATTGTGCTGGATGCAGAATTCAATTCTCTACTGAATGGTAACAACTTCGACCAAGGTCGTCGACCATAAAATAGGGTCTACCAGCAAAAAACTGATTTTCGCTCTATTTCACGAATTCGGAAAACATGTAATTCCTGTCCCGATTCGCGCATACACCTGTGCTGTTCCCCTCTTTGCTTGTGCTACAGGCAAAAATTACGCTCTATCCAATGGTATAGGTTTTCGATAGCCTCGTCGTCCAAAAAGTTGGAGTTTCCGGCGAAATACCATCTCAAAAGCCACTTTTTTATATTATCTCCTGCCCGGATTCGAAAATCTACCCGTGTTGTTTCCATAGTTGGTTGTGCTGGATGCAGAATTTAATTCTCTATAGAATTGCGGCATTTTGAAGTAAAACCAAAGGAAGGAACGCGAGTTATTGGGCTGATACCTAGCCCAATGGACCCCTCCAACAAAACCTGACCCTGTATCTCAATCCCTGACGTTGTGCTCTCTCTCAGGTGGCTTGTGCCGAGTGTAGAATCCGATTCTCTATCAAATGGTAGTATTTTCAAGGAAAACCAAAGCAAGGAACGGTAGTTAATGTGCTGATACCTACCCGAATGGAGCCTTCCAACAAGCCTGACCCTCTGTCTCAAGCCCAGGCGTTGTGCTCTCTCTCTCGAGTGCCTTGTGCTGAGTGTAGAATTCGATTCTCTTTCGAATTGCAGCATTTTGAAGTAAAACCAAAGGAAGGAACCCGAGTTAATGGGCTGATACCTAGCCCAATGGACCCTTCCAACAAAACCTGACCCTGTATCTCAATCCCTGACGTTGTGCTGTCTCTCAGGTGCCTTGTGCCGAGTGTAGAATTCGATTCTCTATCGAATGGTGGTATTTTCAACTAAAACCGAACGAAGAAACAGGACTTAATGGGCTGATACCTACCCCAATGGATATTTAACACAAACCTGACCCTCTGTCTCAAGCCCACACGTTGTGTGGGTGTGGGTGTGTGAGGATGTGCGTGTGGGGTGTGGGTGTGGGTGTGGGGTGTGGGGGTGGGGCACCCGCTCCCACACCCCGCACCCACACCCACACCCACGCCATCCATCCACACACCCACACCCACACTCCACACTCCACACCCACACCTACACCCCCCCCCCCCCCCCCCCACCCCCACACCCACCCCACACCCACACCCATACTACACTCACCCACACCCACACTTACACCCACACTTACACCCACACCCCTCATAACAACTATCGTGAACATTTGATAACATAAAATTGAGAATATCTCTTTATCTTTACTTTTTTATTTAACGATGTTAGAACTTTTTGTCAGCCCTAAGTACCACTGAGTTTAATATAGCGCTCAGAATAGTCACACGCTGGATTATTCTGAACAAAAGTGCTTGTTATTAGTTTTACTATTTTAATTACTGTTACATCAAAACAAATCATATAGATGAGTTATGAACAAACAATGGAGCTTCTAGAAAAATAGGTGATGAATGAATTGATAATAGTATTTTTGGAGAATTTTTAGGTAGATATGTAGAGAACACCAAGCTACACGTTAATATATTTTTTTTTCTTAAAAATAACAAAAAATAAAAAAGTTATTAAACTCTTAACTTCAAGTTCGAAATCAGCGTTCAGAATAGCTTCTATCCACTCTATATTAAAGTACGTATGTTAAATTAAGAGAAAAAGGAATGCGAACACGAGCAATAGCTACCAGGTAAATAAAGAATAAAAAACAATTCTATTCAAAATATAAAAAAAAGAACAAGAAAGATTATTTGCTTGGCGATTGCTTATGTTTGTAAAACAACAATAATCCGCTAGTGATTCGTCAATTTAACTTTTTTTAATATCAGTATAATTAAGCTAACGAATGTATATAGGTCCCATATGTTAAGCGAAAGAGGCTGTACTGACATACTTTATTTTTATCAAGAAAAACTATGTTGTTAATCAACCATGGTATCAACATATATGTATTTTTTCTAACACGAAAAAATTTAGATCAAATGCAATCAACATATTCAGATTATGAATATAATATATTAATTATTGAATGAAGACATTCACATCTATCCCTTTATTATTATATATTTAGATAACGAACTGTTTGAAATTATAAAATAGTTGTTCACATCAAGGATATTCGCATCATAGAAAACTTGTACATATGTTTATTGTGAACATAACATATCATATGTAAACAACTTACGTCAGTGTACATGATAACGCTATATTTTCAAGTAAGAATTTTTCAATCACATCTGTACATAACTGGATTTTCCCTACTTGATTCGCTAACTATAGTCGATGCAAGAAGTTAAGAGAAGCAACATAACATGCCATGTTTTCTATAGTCTTTTGCAGATAAAAAAAAGCGGCATATTTCCGTGTATTGAAGTCGTAAAGTTTTCAACTTGAGAATTTATTTTTATTCAAAAAAAACTATTCAAATGTTTTTAAATTAACCAACCATTGGTGTTTCGCAAACCAAGCCATCTGTGTCATATACAACCTCGACGCGATCAGTTCTACCCTCTAGGGTTCTTGTCCGAATTTTTGGTACTGCAATCACGTCCAATTCTATTTAAAAAAGTTCATTCATAAGTTCAAAACTTAAACAAAAAATCTATCATTTTTTTTCTTACCTGGAGCCTCCTTTTTAATCTCTTCAACAACTTCTTCATATGGTTTACCTACGAGATCAGGCCACGATCGATCATCGATGTTCATATTTACGCAAAGTAAATGATATAAAATAGTAATGTATATTCTACGAGACACATCGTTTTTATATGCATGATCAATCAGAAAAAAAAAATGTTTTTTTTCTTTTACATACGTAGCATACTCTACGTTTTCATTGGTCCATTACTATTTATCACAGAGAGAAATTATTATTTTCATAATGGCTGTGACATAAACAAAAATATATCAAAGCACTAATTACGAATCTAAAATGAAAAGCAAAAGAAAAATGCTCGTTGTTTAATTTGTAAATTGTAAGTGGTCGTCTACTTATTGATGTATAGATGAAGAGTAACCATTTAGATTCTAATCATAATAATTATTTCGATGTCAACAAATACTATTGATCTTCTTCACGAAATTATTGACTTAATGTTTCTGTTATTCATTCATATGTGAACTTTAGAGATATCGTTTGGAACGGAAATAATCTTACTTTCAAGTCGATATTGAATACAAAATTATTTTATCACTGTTTTTAATACAAGTAGTATTCTACTATTTGAATTTTATATTGAAGCACAAAATCTCATACATAAATATTAAACATATATGTATTATAAGGACAGTGATAAAAATCATAGAATGACATAAAACTTTTGTTGTTTTCATATTTAGCATTTATGCGTGATATCATGTTATTTGTTTCTTTTTTAAATCAAGTTTCATAGACTGGTAAACATTCCAATTTATATTATGAAAATAATCTAAATATGATTTGTGAAAAGTATCATATATTCATAGTGCACTTGTAAATTTAGTAAGAATGTTTGTTTTTCGATGAAAACTGTAAGCCTATGATAGATATTACAATGTTGCAAAAATAATTTATAAATAAATGGTTTCTGTTTTTTCGACTGTTTTGACTCTATTTAATAAATTTGAACATGAAAATAGTTTGCAATATGTTCATTTTTCTTCATTCAGAGATATCAATAAAAAAGAAATCAGAAATTATATGTAACAGGTATGCTATGCTATGAAAAAAGTCGAAGTATATTTAAGTGCTAATGTTGAATAAATTACTGACTTTAAATATGTAATTTTATTTAAACAAATTTTTATTAAAAAGATTATTTTATTTATTAAATCGATTGTTGTTGCCGATGAAGTACTGCCATTTGCATTATAGAACACACGTACACGATTATTTCTATGAATAAGTATTATTCGTGAGCCTTCTGATTTAAATGCATTCAAATTGATAAAAATAAACAATCCTTTAAATATGAATGTCAATTAAAACTAATAATTTTCTTTTCTGTGAATCTTCCTACTGAATTTCTTTATTAGTTTCATGAACTGGTCGGTCTTTCAACAAGCACAGACCACAATCTTTTACTTTACATATTTGCGAAATACAAATATCACGAAAAAAAAGACAAATCAACAGAACCTTTTCGATGATATCTATACAATAATCAATCATTACTAAATGTTATTTTTTTTTCTTTTCATAAACACTGTCAAATATATACTTACCAACCATAAATGTATATTTTGTTCGTTTTCTTTCTCAACATTACTTAAGCATAAGATGAATCAATGTCATTGATATTCTAATGAATCGATCTGGCAAGTAAAATAAAGTAACAGGTAGTTAACATAGGTATTGGAAAGTAAGAAGAAAAACTAATCATGAATGATGTTTGAATAGAACCTAAATAAAATTTAACAGGTATAAATAAACAGAAACTTAATTTATCATTTAAAATAAATACTACGGATGAAAAAATTATATTCATGTATCTGTGCAAGTTAGAAGTAGGATGTGGATATATTTGTATCGTCACTCTTTAAAAATTCCATGACACTGATGATGTAAACTGATAGCATAAGGACGACTATATGGTTAAAAAAAAGCATACCTTCACACTCACAATGAAGCAGAGAACTTTGTTCAAAAACGAAATATTGATTTAGCTATGAATTTTGTATTCGGGATTTATCTGATTACGTCAATCAAAGAGAAATTTTCGCTCATCAAATAAAAGTGATATGTGAGAGACATTTGAAGGAGTTCTTATGAATCATATAGAAATAATAATATATTCATTCGATATTTTAGACGTCCTTAAATAGAAGCAAAGATTGTTTATCTCATTAGTAATACGCAACCGATCATGTTGTTTCATAACAAATATGACGAAAAAAGACAAGTAAATATTATGTTTTTCTTAAATAAAGTAATGACTTTGACACATGAAGGTACAAACGCTCAAGGTTCTCAGTCATAATAGTGTCCATATTGATAAATGAAACGTTGATAATGACTTTAAATTACACTAAACTATTAAGGATGAAGATGTATCTACTAGAATTTTATACTTGAACATATTTTTTGCTGCATATTACTAATTATATGAAATGTGACATAGAATTCAATTAAAATGTTGATTTTAACATTTATGTCTAGGATTTTAATATGATGATTATGAACAAAAGTGCTTTCAACAATTCAAATAATTGAATTGTTAGTATTTAGAATCATGATCATATATTTATTTTTTTGTTTTAAAAATGATAAATTTATTCACAAACCATAGTGAATGTTAAGTATAATATATTCATTAATTTTTGTCATGTATTCATGACTATTAATTGACAATTATTTTCTAGAAAAAAAACAAGCTTTCTGAAAGATCAAACTTTAAGTTTTAAATTTTTTAAGTGTTTCTAAGGTAATCAAGAAAGTATTACTACATAGCCCATTATTTTAATCTTTCATATTTTAACCCGTTACATTAAAACTGTTAGGAAATTTATAGAATATTGTACATATTTTTAAATCATATTTTTTATTTCGAATGATTGAAGCTCTATTAATATTTTCTTTTGTGAAGATCTATGTTTCTTTTCGATTCATTATACTACATCATGCATCAGTGGACATTTCTGAAAGTTTTATTTAAAATTCATGCCTGTGTGGTTAGACTCCTTATAGACTAACAAAAAAGAGAATGATAGTTTTTAAAATTACATTATTCTCAGAGAGAGAGAAGAACACTAATTGATAAAAGAATCAATAGAATATTGTAAAGAGAATAGATTCAAGTAAAAATACAATCCTCTGATCAATTTACTAAATGATTAAAGCATTGAAAGAGTAAATAGAATTTACTTTATCAATCTATTCGTTAAAGTCTTTTAAAGAATAAAGACTGAAACTTAAAGTTTTATTCAATTAGTGATCTCAAATTCAAATATAAATCATTTACTT